CAGACTTCATCTCACCTATTTTGGTCATGTTGTAAGAAGGGACCATTCCCTGGAGAAGGATGTCATGCTTGGTAGGGTGGAGGGTCGATGAAAGAGGGGGAGGCCTTCAATGAGACGGATTGACACGGTGGCTGCGATGATGGGCTCAAGTATAGCAGGGATTGTGGGGCTGGCGCGGGATCGGGCAGTGTTTCTTTCTGCTGTGCATAGGGTCGCTATGAGTCGGAAACGACTCAACGGCACTTAACAACAACAACAACTGTGTATATACATGTGGGTTAGTATACTTACATATATTTTCTAGCTCTGTCTGCTGGGAGAGTATAGAAGCAATAGCACACCAGTAAATATGCACACTACTAACAGGAGTCAACAAATCCACAAGTAATGGATGTTAAAATCATTTTACACCAGGGATTACTTCATTTCCAAATGACTAGCATCAATAAGCGTTACAGTTTGTAGCATTAAGTCAAGAAATAATGGGTCTCCAAATGTAATAAATATATGGACTAAATTTTAGATCCATTCAAAGAAACATCCGTAAAAAAAAAACTTATTTTAAACAACTGTGGAAATCTGAATAAGGACTGGGTATTACAGAATTGAAAAATTATTATTAAGATAAAGCATAGACTGCTAACCAGAAGGCTGGTGGTTCAAACCCACCAGCCACTCCTTGGAAGGAAGACTGGGCAATCTACTTCCGGAGAAATATTGCCTCGGAAACCCAAGGAGGGGTGGCTATGAGTCATAATCAACTCGACGGCAGTAAGTTTGGTTTTTTGGTTTTGCTTAATTTTTACAAATCCTTAGTTGTTAGAGATATATACTGAAGTATTTATGGGTAAAATAATATGCACTGAACTTTAAACAATACTCCAGAAAAACACCAAAAAAAATATTTATGAAGTATACTTGTGTTGAACTGGTTAATGTTTATTTAAATTCACTTTATATTCTGTGGGTTAATAAATGTTTTTTGTTAATATTAAATAAAATTACATGTCTGAAAAAACCCAGTACATATTAAAAAGTTTTACATGGCAAAAAAATACCACAAAGTCAAAAGACAACTGATAAACTGGAGAAAATGTTTATAATATACAACAGAAAAAGGGCTAATATCCCTAATACATAAAGAACTCTTAAAAACTGAGGGACAAAAGAGCAAAATCCTAATAAAAAAATGGGAACTAAAAGGTATAAGCAGACAAGTCTCAAGAGACAATAATGACATATGAAAAAATGTGCAAACTCAATTAAAGAAATGTAATTTAACAACACTAAGATACTTGTTTTTATCTATTAGACCAGCAAAAATTAAAATACAGGACAACACATTCCATTGGTGAGACTGAAAGGGAAACAAGCAAACTGGTAGAATCCTCCTGAAGGGAAATCTAACTATCCTTAACAAGACTACACACAGTCTTACCTTTTGGCCAGCAATCCCATTTGAGGAATGTACGCTGAAAATAATCCACACCACAAATACCTATGTTCAAGGTTCACTGCTGCTTTGTTTGTAATTAAAAAAAAACTGGAAACAATCTAAATATCCATACGTAGAATGGTTGATATAGAATGATTTCTAGGACATACTTGAAAGGAAACAGAATACACCTGTATCTGCTCACTTGTATGAAAGAAATACAGGAAGGATAAAATAGAAACTAAAGAAAGTAGTTACCTATAAAGAGTAGGTGGGAGAGTGATAGAAATAAGGAGGTAATGAGAACAGGGTAGCAGAGATTAGTGGGGAGTGCCACTTGGAGTAAATCTTTATGTATAACCATGACTCCCAGAACCATAGCAATGTCTCACATATCCTTTACGTGCATGCACACATATGTGTACACACACACACCCTCCCCCAAGGTGTGGGAGAACACAAAGTCGCACAAAAACACTAACAAATGAACCTAACTATGTCACAAATGAAAAATATACACTGAAGGAGGTAGGGAAGAAAAGAATAAATTGAAGTTAATTTGGAAAACAGTATCTTAACTGGATATGGCAAGGCTAAAGACAAAAAGAACTACATATAAATGCTACAATTTAACTAGTAAATCCTTCACAGAGGGGTTAACAATTCCAAAGCTACTTTATGCACATACTAGAAATGAACACATAAATGTACTGTAGATAATTAGAGCTAATTTTCTCACTGTTGAAGAAAGAAGTTGCAAATAAGGAATGAGAGAATGCTGGTACACACTCTGGTGTTTGTCTGGAATCTGAGGTAGCAGTATAAACTCAAAATGTTGTTGTTGTTGTTATTTTGCCACTGAGTCGACCTGACTCATAGCGACCCCTCCTTGGGTTTCCAAGGCAGTATCACTATGGAAGTAGATTGCTCAACCTTCCTTCTGAGAAGTGGCTGGTGGGTGTGAAACGTCAGCCTTCTGGTTAGCAGTCAAGTGCTTTAAGCACTATGCTACCAGAGCTCCTAAACTCAGTATAGCTGTATGTATACGTGTAAGTTAGTACACTTACGTATATTTCCTACCTCTGTCAACTGCAGAGTACAGAAGCAATGACATCCCGTAAAAATGTGAACACTAACACCTAGGTCATAATTTCTGAACACCATTCTCCAATCAAAGGAATCAGGTCCCAGGAGAAGCACTTGTTACCAGGCTAGACCAGGCAAAATACAGTATGAATGGAGTATCTTGTGATGCCAGAAAGTGAGTACTTAAAAAAAACAACAACAGGTCTTATTGAAAGAACACACGAGCCAACCTAAAGAAGTGCCTAATCAGACACACTCCTTGGAGTGATCGTGGGAGAACAGAAAGGTAGTGCTTACACAAGGAGACAGCTGGGTGGGGGTGGGGAGGGCAGAGCACGGGAGATCATGGGAGGGAAGGACACAGGGAAGAGGTAATTACGAGGAGAAAGCAGGAAGAGAGCTGTTACACTGTGGGGAACTGTGGTCAATGAAAACAAAACGTGTATGAACTGCTGTGTGGAAACGAATTTGCTCTATAAACTTTTACCTAAATCACAACAAAAATTTTTAAATAAATAAAGTAAGTGCCTAATGGCCAAAGCTAGAACAATTTGAGCAAGAAGATAACAAAGTATTGGATTATATGCCATAGAATAAAATATCTATAATTGTATACACACACACACACACATACACACATAATTATATAAAAATGTATTAAATAAATAAATGAAGAAGGGAACAAGGAAATAGAAAACCATCAGGCCGATACCACAATAATTACTGTTGCAGACAAGTTGCATTGACAGGTGCTAAAATAAGCAGTCAAAACTTGATGGAGAAATAGGGTATTTGCACAGTCTCAAAGCATCTCCCTAAGACATGTATGAACTAACCAAGGGAAAGCCAGAACTTCACAGTGGAGAAACTTGGCAAAAACCACCTTAGCCAAATAATCATGGTCAACATCAATAATAAGACTTATCAACATCGTGAACCCCATAAGAAGATGCAATGAGAAGGGCTCATTTTTGTGGCATTCTTGCCAAAAAATTCACAGCCTCAGTTTAATCATGAGAAAACAGCAGACAAACTCTCACTAAGTGATATTTGACAAAATAACTGATCGATACACTTAAAAAAAAGAAGTGTCAAAATAACGAAAGACAAGGAATGGCTGAGGAGTGCTAAAGATCACAAAAGACTAAGGAGAAATAACTAAACGCAGTATGAAATTCTAGGAAAACGACACTAGGGAAACACTGGTGAAATTCAAATAAGGTCTTTAGTTAATAGTACTTACCAACGTTAATTTTCTGGTTTTGATAATCCTATGGTTGTATAAAATGTTACCATTAGGAGGAGCTTGGTGAAGGATAAATGAAAATTCCATTATTTTTTCAACTTCATTGTAAGTTTAAAATTAGTTTAAAATACAAGCTATTAAAAACCATCTATCTATCTAACCATATATAATGGCTATGTATTTTTTAATGATAGCTAGAATTTATAGTAAGAGTCAGAGAGAGTAATTAATTTCTTGCATATTCTAGAGATGGGGGTGGGGTGGTTAGCAGACTGACAAGTTTATCTAATTCTAGGTTGGACAAAGCTGAGGCCAATAGTTCAAAGTAACATAGGTCTAACATTAATACCTTACATACCTCGATCATGTAGGGCTAACAAAACCCGTTCATATAAGCAGGCTCTGTAGAGGTCTCCAGGAATAGGTTTTCCTGCCCAGCAGTCAAGTTCAAGCTTCTCAGGGTCAGGGGCATGGGGATCAGGCTCAGCTAGAATATATCGATAGCCATCTTTGTTAAATGGGTGTTCCAAGGGGTAGCCATGAGGGGGAAGGCGTTGAGCAGAAAACAAAGGGTCACTGCAGAAAGGAAAAAATAAAATCAAGAAACTAAAACTTCCTCTAGCTCAAATGCCTTCATTTCAATAATAAAGGCCTCTGAATTACTAGATTTCAGCTGGAACATGTAATTTCACAACAAATGCTTTTCATTACTCAAATAGACCATCATGCCCTCTGCAGGCAAAACAGGGATATGAAAGTATTAGCTTTATTCAGTAAAGTAATTTTGGTCAAATTACTTGTGTTCTGTAGAGCTCTTTCCAGCGGTCTTTAAACAGGCAGTGATGTATATGAAACTAAGCCAGTACATGGTCTGGGAAAAAGAGCAAGCAGGAAGGAAGGTGAGTTCCTTTAGTATATGTGTTATTATAAACAAATGACTAAAAGCTCAGAGATAAGAGCACTTCCTATCTGTTGGTAGACTAAATAATAAGTGATCTGAATTTTATCACCTCAGTATTGGGCAAAGGTAAGGTCAAAAGCATGAGAGAAGAGAAGCAGAAAGTTTCTGTAAAGGAGCTAACACTCAATATTGGTTTCATTCCTTCTTCTCCATCTATCTTTTCACAAGATGCCTTAACATAACTTTACTTTCCAGGCTTATAACCAAAGGGTACTGCCTTGGGGCCACTTTGTGTAGTAACAAGTTAAAGAAGACAGAACCTTTAGCTTGGGATTATTTTGACCCTCAAAATGCTCTAAGAAAAACGGACAAGCTTTTTAACCTCAGACACCTGAGCTACTGAAGAGTATGGCTCTGGTGGACTTTGTCAGAACAAAAGAATACTCCAACCATGGTGGGCAGAGGGTAGATGTTCTCCCCACCTCCGGGCCTTCTTGGTGGTGCCTGTGGTTCCTCCATCCTGCTGTTTGCGCTTAGCTCCTCTTCCTTTTCCACTGCTTCCTGCTGCAATTCCTCCTTTGAAGAGAAGACAGATCACATTCAGCCAGCTGTGACAGAAGCACCATGTGGGTACTGAAATTCCCTAAGGACTAACACATCCAACATGCATTTGTGTAATACCAGAGGAGTTCCTTCCTGAAAGCATACTGGGTTTCATCCTGGTTCAGAATGAGTCTGCTGAGAGTCTTACAGCCCAGAACACTAAATTCTGGCAGTAAGACTAGTGATGTCTAGTGTTACATTTCCAACTTTCCTTTCTCAATGAACTAAAACTGCCAGCACTCTTTCTGAGGGTGTGACACAAATGCATTTAACTCAAGAAGATCCCAAACACCCACAGCTAGAAAGAATGAAAACGACTGCATGGATAAACTCACTTCTCCATCCCAAATCACTACAAACATCCATAAGAGAGAATATCTTCACTTGATTGAACAGCACGATATATTCCATAAACATAATAAAGACACAATATTTGCTAAAGCACTTGAGTATTCAACAAGACAAAGTACATCAAACATGGAAAACAAAAATAGAAATACCAAAGGTGTTTCTCTGCAGTACTACCAGACATACAGTGAAGCTGTGCATGGCACAAGATGGAAGGCTTTAATTTAGTAAATGCTTTTTAGTTCCATATTCATTTATCAATACATCTGTAAGATCATGCCAATGCATAAAATTCTTATGGAATTAAGAATATCACCAATAGATAATTTACATATTTCATACAGAAAATAAATATAGCTTTACACAAAAGAAATATTATGTGTTTATGAAATTGGCACTTTGAAATTTTTGTTGAATTCTGACCTTCCCCTCAGTTTTTCTCCCCCCTCCTTCCAGAAAATGTCCCTAAACTGCAGGAAAACACCTTTATGTAAACAGCTGCATAGAGTACTAGATCTTAAGTTGGGGCAAGCTTGGAAATTATCAGCAGTTCTGCTGCAATAAAAAGGATCAAGACGTTGAGGGTAGATCATATTCTGCATAAACAGGACCAGACCTATACAGAACTTACTTTTATGAATCCATCAGGTGTTACTCCTATTTCTTATAAAAAGGTTTAATTTTAAACTGCTGCAATATCAATACCTCTAGTCTGAGTTACCTTAATCTTTTAATAGTTTTTTTTATTGTCGTTTGTATTTTAACTCGTCTAGGAATCAAGTTTTTTATCTACCTTCAACAGAAGAAGCAATACTAAAGGGACTATTGGCCCTGTTAGGCAGAATATGACAATGTACAAGCTTTTAATTACTAACATTAAACTGGAGCTACTGTCTCATATTAAGTGCTACTGCCACCATTTCCACAATGCTTTAAAGTTTTATTTAGTTTTAGCTTCTACCACAATTCAGCAAAAAGCATTTTCCAAACCACAAAATACTTAAGTCTGAGAGGCTGAAAGAAGACAGAGGAGGAATTCACCTCCAAAAGAGGCTCCACCTGTAAGAACAGAAGTGGCACCATGTATTTGTCAAATGTTAACAATTAAAAGGGAGAAAATGCTATAAAAAGAGAACATCATACTTAGAAAATTCTAACCCATCTTAGAATACTAATAACATTTAAAAAGATTAGCTATTTAAGATGCTACTATTCCAAAAGACATGTCAATGATGTCATGTGTCAGATGACCAGATAGCTACTTCCCAGCTACACCAACTCTCATGAGACTAGCATTAGTAATGAAGGGCATTCCCACCACTAGAAGGGTTAACAAACAGAAACACATGCTACAGCAGGCGATCAATACAGAAATGCCGTAATATGAAAAACACTTTCTGCATAATGTATAGTTTCAGAGTAAGAAAAATTAGACAATGAGTATAGGAAGTTAACATGATAATTAACAGCTGAATTAAGGGAGAAGCATGGAGAACAACAAAATCTTTCTAAAGTGTTAGTTGTGAAGATACAGATGGAGAATCTAACATAAAGAGTAAATTAAAATTGTACCTTGTTTCCTGCTAAATCTGTCTCACTAAACACCAGTCTAAGTATCAAAAAGTTCTCCTCCATTACCATCTGCCAAATCCTTGGCTAATTCATAAAAACTGAGTTTTGGACTTAAAAGCATCTTAGTAAATATCCAGTAAAGGGTCAACCAAAGAACTGCCAATTCTAGGCACATGTGGACTTGCCAGCTTACAAACATTTCAGCAATGAAACATTTTTACACTTACCATTTAGATTCCCACTGGTAGACACAGCACTGCTTTGTTTTTGGTTGTCATAAGCAGGACCAATGTTACTTAGATCCTGGAAGGAAAACATTTTTCAAAAGGGACCCATATAATCAAGCCAGTCTGGTAATGCTCAAAGAAACAGAGAGAAATTCTAATAGCAACACATCAAATGTTACTCCTATTTCTAACAGCAATTAGAATTTGAAAGGGACAATCCTAAAGATTCTGAAACTTGCAGGTGTCTCAAACTTGGATAACTCAGAGATCAGCAGTAACACGTGTGAGGCAGGTCAAATGTAAGGTCACAGTGGGTTGAGAGTGAGTATGGGGGAGTTTGGAGGAGCAAGGGCAAACTGGAGTGCTTAAACGCCATTTACTCAACTCCCCGTGGGAATTCAGGCTCAGTGTGGACAGAAATTCCCATTTTATAAGAAAATATACAAATCAGAATTTCTATGTGAAATCTCAATTTTTTAGTGCTAGCAAATCAAACATTTTAAGGCACAGCTAAAAAATTTGACTTCCTGAGCTGACAAATGTGACTATATCATAAACAATGAGTGGAAATTTTATTTTGCCTCATGTTATGCTAAAAATGCAACACAAATTGTTTTCCTTCATACTAAAGAATGTTTTTAAGAGCCAAATTTGAGATGGCAGACAAAAATCATTTAGAATGGCATATTTATGTTACATATGTTACGTAAAATTTTTAACCGAAGTTAAAGAAAGATAAATTTGCCAAAGTCACAGCATTCTGGGGAAGAGCCAGGACCAAAAAACTTATCTTCTGGTTCAAGGTTAGTGTTTGTTCCACATGTCACAATAACCATTTATTTGGAGCCCACCATGTTAAGGGCACATAAAGGCAGTATGTTATGCGACAAAACCTGTTCTCTCTCCCCAAATGGCTTTAATAGCAAAAGAGAAATATAAAGCATATTAACATACCTGATCCAAAAGTCCAAACTTGGGGTAATCTTCTTCTGGGTCTTTACTCCCAGGATCAGGGTGTTCCTTCACCAAAAATACATCTCTTTCTTTACTCTACAAGGAAATAGTGTTTTGCTATTGCTGTGAGACTTACACTTCAAAGAAGTACTGAATGAATAATAAACCACCAACTCCTGAAGTCAGTTCCTAGGTATAGTCATCAAAAAAGCACTGTTTTTTTACCTCTGATTAGAAAGTTAATACATGCCCATCATCAAAAGTCAGACAATAGAGAAACTTAAAAAAAAAGAGAGAGAATCCAAGTCTACCATAGTCCTTATCTATCCTTCTACCCCCAATAGCCTGCTGTTGACTTCCCACCAGGTGCTCTCTTTAATTTTCTTTAAGGACAACAATGTTTAGAACAAGTCTTTTTATTTTTATTTTTTTTAAATCAAAGAAAAAAAACTACCTCCAATTTCAATATAAAATTTTATTTTCAAAAGTGCAGTGAATGTTTTCACCATGCGTGATAGCCACTTGAGACAAAATGTGAGAGTTTGTGTGGAAACCACTAAAATTTACTATTAGCTATATCTCACTCTTTCACAGATTTAATATTAAGTTGACCTCATTTTCTTAGTCATCAGATTATTTCACAGTGAGACTAAACAGAATTTAACTCTTACAAAGAACACTGGTTTTCTAAATGTCAAGCCTAATCAATTTTAGTCTACTTACCATTGTTTTAACAATGTTATTTGGCCACGTCATTTTCCCAGGTCTCTGTCTGGTTGTCATGCACTCCCAGTATTTATCAATAAATGGTATAATATCCTAATTTTTAAAACAAAATGTATAGTTGCTTTTAAGGTTATGCTCAAAAAAGAAAGAAAATTGCAGCCTTTCCAAAACCCTATCAAAATCAAAAGAAAAAAAAAATCCATGTTTAATCTTTCAATCACTGAACAAATACTTAACTGCATGCAAGCAATATAGATTGTAGGGATTTCAAATGAGTATATAGATAGTCCCGGATTATGAATGACTTCTATTCCTAAATATGTCTTTAAGTTGAATTTGTACGTAAGTTGTAACAGTTTAGGTATTGTTTGTATTTAACATCAGTTAGTCAAATGTTTTTCTTAGTATATAGTGTGTGTTTCTATGCATAAAAAACATTAAAGAAACACTTCCAGATATACTAAAACATCTTTAACATAACATAGTAATAATGTTTTGATGTGTATCTCAAAGTAGTGTTCATTTGTTATTCTGAACTACCGTATATACTTTGAATTTTTATTGTAACAGGTTTTCAGGGGTTGGTTCGTATGAGGTTTGTACATAAATCAGACATTTGTAACCTAGGATGCCAGTACACAAGTCTTAGCCACATAATGTTTGCAATCCAGAAGGAGGGAACAGATCTATCCCATACCCTTAGGTTGCCATCTGGAAGATGAAGATTTCCAAATTATTCTCTCTGCTCCTTTTTCTACCTGCTTCAGGCATTTGTATCTGAACATCCCACAGGTATCTCAAAACTTCTTGGGACTAAAACTGAGCTCTGTACCTTGCCTTAATAGTTGGAAATCACTAACCACCCAGAATCATAAACTAGACACAAGAAGTCATCCTTGGTTCTTCCCGTTTTCCTTCACATCTAAATCGTCACAAATAAAACTTAAGACACTCAGAAATCTCTCCCAAAGCAGGCCTCTTTGTCCCCAGTGCTTTCATTGTGGCCCTTGCCAGCTCTTGTCTGCATGACTAATTGTCTGAGCTTGATCTTCTGACATCAAACTCCCCCATTCTAGAAAAACTTCCACAGTCAACTGGTACCAAAGTTAGCTCCAAACAACCCAAGTATTTATTAAAAGGAACCAGGGCTGAATCAGGGAAAGTACAAGGGAAATCAGGAATATTTTGTTGTTCAGGAAAAAGGAAGATTTCAAAAACTGATGGTCAATGCCTCTAAATTGCATATGTAGAAACTGTTGAATTGGTGAATCTTTTGCTGTGTATATTCTCAAAACCAAAATCAAACTCAGTGCCGTTGAGTCGATTCGATTCATAGCGACCCCTCCTTGGGTTTCCAAGGTGGTATTGCACTGCCAGCCTTATAGTTAGCAGTCAAATGCTTTAGGCACTATGCCACCAGTACACCACCAGAGCTCCCTTAAATATTCTCAAGAACAACAAAAAATACAATTCAAAAACAAAACACTGATGAGAACATACCACAAAGTTTTAGGAGTGAGCCTGGTCAAAGCATCCCTGGCCAAATCTGGGACAATCAGAGCATCCAGAATCGTAACAATAATGGATTAAATAATACACTGATTTAAATATCTATGATGATAGTAGGAGCTCTGGTAGTGTAGTGCCTAAGGCATTTGACTGCTATCCAGAAGGCTGGTGATTCAAACCCACCAGCCACTCATTGGAAGAAAGATTAGGTAATCTACTTCCATAGTGATACTACCTTGGAAACCCAAGGAGGGGTCACTATGAGTCTGTTCAGACTTGACAGCAGTGAAGGATGATGGTATTTAAAAAAAAAAAAAAAAGTTGGTTGGTGGGGGGAACCCCTCTTCTTTGCAGAAGAATTACAACCAATAAATGTATTCCATTCTGTACCCACTATCACAATAATGGATTCAGACTAAAATCTTCAATGGGTACTAATACCACTAGTTGAAAGTAGGAGAACATTACATTCACACAATCTAGCTATATCACCAAAAGCATTACTCAATAATTATAAAGAAAAAATTGTCCCTTTCCAATGAAGGAATCTGGTATATATCTTCTTAACCAAGCAGACATATTTTAGATCACCAATTAAAAAAACAAATAAACATTATCTTATAAATCCTAATGTGATACACGGAAAAACACACATGACCTAAATAATGTCCTTGCTAGAAATGTTTAACTTGAACCCAATCATGAGGAAATAATCAGTTACATGAAAACTGAGGAACATTCTGCTAAACATTTGTCTAGGCTTTTCAAACTTGTAACTGTCATAGCAAACCAAAATGAAATAAAGGAACTATTTTAGGTAAGAGACAAAGAGACATCATAACTAAATGTAATATGTGATCCTTGATCAGATCCTGGATGAAGGAAAAAAAGCTATAAAGGATATCACTGAGATAGTAATATTGAGGAAAAATGAATGTAATTTATGCATTAGATAGTCATTGTATCTTGAGTGTTGTTATTATATTGTAGTATGTAAGGTAATATCCTTATTTTTGGGAGATGCATGCATAAGTCTCAGTGGTACAGTACAAGGATATCTGCAATTTAGTCTCCCATAGTTTAGGGGGTTATGGATACTAGGAGACAGAGCAAATAGAGCAAAATATTAACAACTGGCGAATCTAGGTAAAGAGTAAACATTATGTTCAATGTACCAGTCTGCATTTTTCTATAGGTTTGAAAATTTTCAAAATAACAATTTGGGAAAAAATTAAAAAGAGGGGGAAAACCCAAATCTAACCATAACACTGCTTTATTTAAAATACTTTAATATAGGAAAAAAGGGGGGGAGGAGAGAAAGCAGAGGACCCTCTGTTGATTCACTGAGTTTGTAGGATTAAATCCAAACTCCTCTGCTTTGTAGACAAAGCTTTTGCCAATCTGATCCCAACCACACAGGTCTCACTACACTCACTACACATCCCACACCTGGGTTTTTCAAACTACCAGTCATAAATCAATTGTATGTTATGCAACAAACTTTGTATATCAAAACAAGCATTGACTAGAATGGAAAATATCATGAGTGCAGAGGGAAAAGATAAGAAGGTAAGTATTGTTTCATGCAACTTTTGTTCAGTTTTAAATGAATGCAGATAGGTATGAATGTATACTAGGTTATAATGTAAACTCCATTTAAAAAATTTACTTGTTTTTTCTTATATTTTCTTATAATGAATTAAAGGAATAAAGATTCACTAATGGGCTAATCATCTAATTTTGAGTCCTGATTTCAGTCATATAGTTTTCCATCTTAATAACAAAGGATAACTCTTCTTATCTATAAAAGGCTTGTATAACAGTACTGCATTGTCAGTGAAGGCTAACATAGGTATATGGGTGGATAGATGGGTGGACAGGCTGAACAATTAGGTATGTCTATGAAATGGGGAGTGTATCTAAGAACATATATAGGGTTGGCAGACAATGGTCCTATAAGTTTATGTGAATGATCAGAATTCCCAGGTGTACCGTAGAGCTGATGAGGGGCAAGGTTGTGGTCACGGCTTGGTCACAGCCAGCTACCCAGAGGGACTGAGCAGTTGAACCTGAGGGCTTGGGATCATAGTCACAGGGGACATCAAGCTCAACTGGCATAACATACTATACAAAACATTATTCCACCTCCTACTTTGGCGAGTAGCGACTGGAATCTTAAAAGCTAGCAAGCTGCCATCTAGATGAAACAATGGGTCTCTCCTCATCCAGAGCAAAGAAGAATAAAGAAAACCAAAATTCATGGAAACAATTAGTCCTAGCGACTGGTACACAATCCGATCTGCAGCCTATATGACTATGAGACCAGAACTAGATGGTGCCCGGCTACCACTGTCATCCACTTGGAAGGGGATCTATGTAGGAGATTCTTGATAGAGAGGGAGAACAATGTAGAACAAAACTCAAAATCATTTGGAGGAAAAAAAAAAAGGTGGGGGGGACCAGGTTTGCTGGTCCAATAGAGCCTGGTGGAGCCACTGAGACTATGGTCCCTAACTGCCCTTCAGATCTGGAATTGAACCCACACCTGTGGTCTCCAGCCAAACAAAATACAGGCATATGAGTTGAACATTTATCTCAAGTAGATACACTTCTTGGAGAGAACAATCATGGGAGAAAGAAGGGCTGCTTATGCACAGGGAGACAGCTCTGGGGGCAGGAGTGCATGGAGGGATGGACACAGGGAAGAGAGAACTGTGGGGAGGAAGTGGGAAGGGAGCTGTTGCATTGTGGCAAACTGTGGTCAATGTCATGAGACAAAGTATATGTGAACTGCTGTATGGAAAGTGAATTTGCTCTGTAAACCTTCACCCAATCACAACAAAAAAAAGGCATGTATAAACTGATCACCTCCCCATAAAATCTGTAATATGCATCTATAAAAACAGCTAAACTAGGCTAAGAAAGTTCACCTTAGACCTAATTATTAGTCATGGTTGTTTGCTTTTATAAAGCTAGCCAAAACTATTTAAGGATTCATCCTAATAGCCAGGCCAAGTACATATTATAATGTGTGTATACTAGGAAATTAGTAAGTCACATGAAATAAGAACAAGGTAGCCAATGAATGCACAGTCACATATTTATAAGAACTGGGAATAAAGTACTTGCTGTTAAGTAGTATATTTAGTAGTTCTACTGATTCTTTGGCATAATTACAATTCTATCAGTTCCATTTCTACCTTATCTTTGGAGAACATGGTTTTTGGATGTTCATCCTGTGTTCGAGATTGCCATGTTAGGTTGGCCAAAGCACTAAGGCACATTTCCTTCAAGTCTATAAAAAAAAAGAAAAGAAAAAGTTATCTATGGTACCAAATCTATCTCTATCATCAAGGGAATATTCAAGTAAACAAAACCAAACTCACTGCCGTTGAGTTGATTAGACTCATAGCAACCTCTCCTTGGGTTTCTGAGGTGGTATCTCTATGGAAGTAGATTGCCCAGTCTTCCTTCCAAGAAGTGGCTTGTGGGTTTGAACCGCCAGCCTTTTCATTAGCAGTCAAATACCTTAGGCACTATGCTACAGAGCTCCTACTATGTTGTGTTGTTGTTGTTATGTGCCGTCGAGTCAAACCCGACTCA